CTGCATCTTTATGTCTCTGACCGGACATCTGTGGTGAACTAGTCCCCCACTGGCAACCCCAACTGGTTTAGCTTTACCAGTTTTATTTATAATATACACCTTTTATATGTAATAAAAATTAATAATATAATAATTTAAAAAGTATACTCTGTACATAAATTATGATTTTAATGGCTTTGTAATGTAAGCATCTTTACAATGCAACTAAATACAGTAATATGGTACTAATTAAATACATGTTACTATAGGCTAAGCATGAAATGCAATACTCAAATTTATTAACACTCAATCCCTGCTCTGTCGCTCTGTCCACCAAGGGGTCCTTGTCTTGAAAAGGATGAAAACCCCTTGTTTGGCAACACAAAATAAAAGTACAATTTTAATTTTAGAACAGTGTTTTTGTAAAACATACATTTCGAAAGGATGAATTATAAGATATTTATTTTAAAACAAGTAGGAAATAATACATACTTTTAAAAGGAAGGACTGACTGTTGAGGGTGTATCTTTTACAATGTACAAGACCACTGGACCTTGAATAAATGTTTCTTTCCTAAGCTAAGCTAGTGTGCAAAACATCTCCATTACAACTGTAGTCCTAAGCACAGCATTTTTATTTAATAGAAAAGCAACTGCCTTTGCGGTGTGCTTCAACTTCCTCTAATGACCTAATTATCCAGTAATGACTTCACTGACCATTTAAAACCCCTGTTTCTTCATCCCTTCCCACTGGGTTTTTAACTAGCTGATTGATCAAAATATGTTCTGCTCTCCCTCTCTCTGATTAGTCATATGCAAAGCTTTTATCTTGAATGCCATCCCATCAGCTGTAATGTTGCAAAGTTAGGCAGTCAATTAGCCTCTGCCAGGATGCAATTAGACTGATGGAATGCCATGTTTGTGAAATGTATGCTAAGATTATGAAATGGGCCACTGGTGTCTGTATCTATTGACACAGCCTGATTGGTGCTATTTTTAGTCATGGATGGCATGCACATTACAATGCTGAAAATGCCAATTAGACATGAGACCAAAATAATTATGAATTATAGATATTCTTCATCCCAACAAGCAGGCCAGGACTTAAGGGGAACAAGGGTCCCTAGGCTTGAGGTTATGTTTGGGTCCTATACCTATACACTACAAATGCCCTCAGCTAGAACATCAATAAGGAGTAACACAAAAATGTAAATATGCTTTGATGTTTATATATAGTACAATTTATATGCAACATGTCTAGCCTAATCAAAGTTTAGATGTAATATTAAATAGTCATTATAATACAATAAACAGGATGTGTTCTCTCAGTTGAGAGATCAAAACCCTGAAATTACACTGAGCAAAAAAAGACAGAGATGTATTAGTATTATAAACAAAGGCGTCATGCCCATTCAAAGTGAGGAGGCACGTGCCCCCTCAGATATTTGAGCCAAGTGGATTTTGAATGCAGCTTCCAAAAGACAAAAAAATAGCCAATTAATATTTTCTATATTTAATACAATCACACCCGCGTGATTAGAATGTTCAGTGCGTCATATCAGCTGCTAAATTCAAATCTGCGTTCGCTGGCTGGCGCTGAGACAGATACAGACGCGTTTTTACAGTACTGCGCATTAACCAATCACACACGATGCTGTTGAGCTTATGAATGCAATGACCATTCAGAGGTGTTCAGATGAGTCATCGCTAAAATGCCGGTGTTTTCTTCACTCGCTCGCTGACTGAATACCTCTTTCTGGCGAATTATCTGGTCAGAAACAACAAACTGCAGATGTGTGTATGAATATATGATAAGATATTAATTTCATAGTGTAAACAGCTTCAGGGATTTTAATGGGAGTTTTTGAGAGTGCTTGAACTAGACTGTCAGTGAAAATGTTCTTTGCTCTCTTTCTGTACAATTAAATTATTTATTCACATTAAATTTCAATGTTAAATTCACATTAAGTATAAACTCAGTCGTATTAAATATGTTATGGCATGACATCCATATCTGTTAATTAAGTAAACAGACAGGTTATTATGCATAGTTAATAGATTACATTATTAGTTTACTTTGACCATCACCCACTATAGATCAACATAATCTATAAGGTGAGAATCAATATATTTCATGATATAGTTAATGCGTTTGGGGATGTTTCGAATAAAAAGGAAAAAATAAATAAAACATAAGTGATGTTGTGGCTGCTGTGTGTCACATGACGACCCCCCCCCCCATCCCAACTCATGCCCTCTCTAAAATAATGAGTGCATGACGCCCCTGATTATAAACATTTATTGTCTCTGTCAAATTCTTAAATTTAATCAATAAATTCAATCTGAATAAAAATACATGTTGGCTATTAACATCCAAATGAAATCACTATCAACAAAATCCATAGATAGATTCTGCATAAATTGTTAAGTTTAAATATAACATTTTAATGTAGAAATATTAAATGATTGCAGAAATGAAATAATAAGCTACTTTTTTAAAATATGAAACTGCAACCGCCAGTAAGTGGCAGCAAGTAACTGTTTTAATGAGTGTGAGTTGAATACTTAAAGGTGCAGTAGGAGAGCTTAGAAAATGCTAACTTTAGCCTGATAGCACTGAAAGCGAAAGTCCCACCCTCCCTGCAATCACCGTCCAAAGCCACGCCTCCTGAGCACATATATACGCTCACAGACCAGAATACCAGACATAACATTACCACAATAGGCTACATCAGCGGTTCCCAATTTCAGTCCTTCACACTTCTCTAGTAAGTTAGTTTTGTCTGTGTGTGAAGACACTGCGCAGCGCAAATCAGTGAATGAATGTTCCAAAGTGTAGTAAACTTCAATGGATTTCCCCTGCTCAGCGAGTAGGGAGCAATGAACACTGTGTAGGGATCATATCGATCGGAACACAGTTCATGCACATAGCTCACTTCTAACGAGCTGGTTGGGGGGCGCGAGGACTGAAATTGGGAACCGCTGGGCTACATCATGCGTCATTCACCGGTGAATGACGCAGTCATTCTTTCAGTAAGAATTTTTCTAATAAATATCTCTACAGTCACGTTAATTCATTGCCATTTCCACAACACCCTGTCATTTCCATCACCACACATTTTTAAAAAATATTTTAAAAGTTCTCATCACACATTAAAAATGTATCCACAATTTATGAGATCATGCTCTACTTAATATAAAACTTAAAGGTATTTATTTTCTAATAAGCTCTTACCCAAACCAATATTACAGTTCATAGTGTGACAGGTGTACAGTTAATTTATCTCATTGACAAATGTATAATTATTGTACATTGTGGAAAAACTAGTTACAAAAATGATCTTAGACATTTCTAGAGTGGCATAAGTTATTCTATTTTTAAATAACAGCTGTATATTGAGATGTGGTGGAAATGACATTTGTTCATTGCAGGTTGGAATTTTTTTTTAAATATTAACAATTTCTTTTGTAATCTAAGTTTGTCCTCTTACAGACCTTAAAACTAGACATATTATTTAAACTCATGAAACTGTGTTACGTGACTATTGAACAAGTTTTTTTTTCTCAACTTCACAAGGATAAAAGTGCCCCTAGTTGAAGAAATGCCCATATATATATATATATATATATATATATATATATATATATACACACACACACACACAGGTGCATCTCAACGTTTGCACTCCACTTGATGCACTTATGGCAACAAAGGTGGGATCAAGAACTGAAAGGAAGACATTTATACTTGATTAAAAAAAGAGTTGGCACTGTGGAAAATAAGGGAGGAAACAGGAGAGAAGAGACTATTATGACCAGATTAAGAATAGGGCATAATAAATTAAATGGCACTCTTCATATTATGGGAAAACATCCAACTGGGTTTTGTGACCAGTGCCAAATACCTGAGACTGTAGAACATGTGTTTATTAATTGTTCAAAATATGAATTACAGAGGATGGATATGATAAATGACATGGAAAAAATAGGACTAACAGGACGTGAAGTAAAGAATATAATGGACTGCAGTAGGAGTGAACAAGGAAGGAAATATTTGATTTGCTTTCTGACTTAAACGGGACTCATGACAAGAATATGATGACTAAAGTTTATGGGAAATAACTAAAACCAGAAGATGACAGTAATGCAACGTTAAGGATGCAAGCTGCCGTTAAAACCCAAAGAAGAAGAAGAGACATTCGGGATTGAACGCTTCACTGTTCATAACTGGAATACATGAGACTGGTCTATGTGGGAATTGTGGGGAGAAAGAAACAGTGGCACATGTAATATATAATTGTATAGGGTATGATGAAGAAAGAAAGGAATTAATATCATATTTAAACAAAAAAGGTAAGGTAAATAAGGATTTGGAATACTTATTAGGATATGAGTTTAACAGAGATAGAGAAGGATACAGGATATTAATAAAATACATACTAGGCTACTGGGTTAAGTGAAAGGATTTAAATATAGAATGCGGATGCTCTATTCCAGTGAATCTCAACTTTTTGGCATACCGGACCCCTAACCCATCCTCAAGGACCCCCCAGAACAAAATTTACTCATCTATGTATCATTTGTGTTTTTGTGAGGACCAAATACAGTCAAGTATAATGCAAGTTAGCTGACTTGTCCAGTATTTGGGAATATCATCAGCAATATTGGATTTTTCTTTGTCAAAATATACAACATTTATACAAAAATTTATACGGACCCCCTGGCCTTACGTCAAGGACCACTAGGGGTCCATGGACCCCTGGTTGAGAAACCCTGCTCTATTCTATTCTGGATCTTTAGGAGACCACGGATTTAGTCTGGAGGAGCTGAACACACAGCGCCAGGTGGAGCCTGGGGAGAAGGAATGGGATGGAGCATCGGATAATTATTTAAGTAGGAATATTTGTGTATATACGTGTGTAAGAACAGGAAAAGCAAAAGCAAGGAATAAATTGATAATAAATAAACCACGAATGCATAACAGCAAAAGTAGGTGGCGATATGCACACAGGATGCAACACGCCAAAAAAAAAACGGAAGAAGAAGAGGCGTGTGAGCGTGTATGTAAACTAGCGGCCTTTTCCACTCGGTGACCGACGTTTGTGTTTTCTGTCAAGAAAAATCACACTATACGTATTGTAAACATAAACAGGTAATTCCTTTAATTCTAGAAATCGCAAAAGCTATTTGGTGACGGTCATTCCACTTTATCGTCAGCTGTTTGTTAACGCTGGGTGTAAAACAAAGCCAGATAGCATGATAGCGTTAGCCGCTCCGCTAGCGTTTTGCAATATTATATATAGTCTCACGTAAGCTGTAAATTTTAAGATTGCGTGCAGGTTGCACGAGCTGAATAATGGGCAGTCTTTATAAATCAGTTACAGAATTTATATGTTTGTGGTTTTAGCCTGAGAGGCTTTTGCTACTTTGCTATCATTACATTGTCTTGCTTTATTTTGTTACTGAGTAGCAAAATATGCAATATTATGCACTTACAATGTAAAGGTCAAGCGTTTCTACCATTCTTGTATAGTTTTTATCTTATTTATCGTGCAAACATAATCCTCTTTTTCGCCGAAGCTGACCGCGTCAAACTTTTTTAATTAAGGTTAGTTAATCTGTAACCCATAAACAACTTTCCCTTTAAGTGTTTGTACACTTTGTGTTCAGTAAAGACAGTTTACTAGTTTCCTTAACAATATTACAGTGGTATTGTACATTGATTGACATGACACAAGTGTCGTGTTTTTAATGTATAGTTACTGCAGTACGTTACGTGAAGTGGGGAAATCCATACAGTGTAAAATAATTTAGCATAATGTATTTGGTATGCATTTTCTCATTGTGAAATATACTTTTCTGTAAATGTAAAGGTATATACAAAATTCAGATTCAGAATGGCATTATATGTGGCAGCTAGTGTGTTAGTTGGGTAGGTTGGTTGATTTGCACCTTCTGTGTCCCCTAGCAGCAGCCCTGCCCCGACGCACCCCAACCCCAAGCGGAGCCGTCATGTGGCAGGAGGCCCGCAAACATGAGCGCAAACTGCGCGGGATGATGGTGGACTACAAGCGGCGTGGGGAGAGACGCAGAGAGTACTATGAGAAAATCGTAAGTCGAAGAACAAAAGTCTGTGACCTTGACTGCACTTTAGGGAAATTATCACGGTTATCAGTATTATCACGGTATTGTTACAATGTGCTGGAGATGTTCAGAAAGTACAAACACATAAATCACTTCACCAAGTTTTATATTTAAAAATAAAACATCAAATAAAATGACTTTTTGTTTGCATAATCACTAAAACAATAACATTACCAATTAGGGCTGTCGCGATTCTATTCGACTATTCGATTTTTTAAAAATCATCGACTTCATATTGCCTGCGTCGACTAACCGGCAAAATACCGGAAGTGCCGCATTTCACGGACGAGAATCCATAAAACATCATTAGACTGTTTTCCAAGGCTGCATGATATATTAAGCCCGTTTAAAAATCATAATTAAGCATAACTGTGAATTCACAAATGCTACGATTTAATTAAATAACTATATGTGATGCAGTTATAGGCATGTAGGTTACGTACGTGGGTCTCACAGCGGCTCCGTTCACAGTATTGCTGCTCCACAGGAACTCAAACTCCATCTCTGCATGTTGTTGTTGTGAGTTTGGGTTTATTGTAACGTTCATCTGGGAACGCAACATGCGCCATTTCATCAGATAAATCATCCGGTAAATCATTTATAAATCCACGCAAACACAGGAGAATACATTATTATCTCGCGGTTTCAAAATAAAAGCTCAAACCCTCACTCTTGAGTTTACACGTTTGATGTCCACATATTCATTTAATTACAGTGGCTATAGCATTTCTGTCATAAAGAAATGGCCAAATATTAAAGATTAAGTGAACATTTGAATTAAATGATGCTTGGTAAATATTAAACAAGTATTAGATCGCACAGCAATGTGTAAAAACAATCGTCAGGCCGTTGGCGCCCTCTGCAGGCATGCGTAATGTAATGCGTACTGTACATTAGGTCTATTCACTGATCTATAATAGAGGTTATATTATATTATAATTATATATAGATCAGTGGCTCTATTACATTATAATACAGTATTTTAACAGTTTTGTTCAATAAAACCATATGATTTCTTGCTTTTGATACTTTATTTGAACTAATTATTATTGCCTCATTGCTATTATATATGTATTTTAACTAAATGTAAAGGCTATTGTTCACTTAGCCTACATCTATTTTTATTACCACAAAAATTTATTATTAATTATATTTTATTATTAGTAGACCAGAACACGTGGACATGTTGTCATTCTTGCACTATAATACTGAACTTTGATTTCAGTGATTTGGACTATGAGATGGACACGTGCTTCTTGCACTCTATGTTGCACTTTACTTTTGCTTTAAAAAAGGATTTCATAGAAATTTGTATTTCATTTGGAGTTTCACTACTAAAGTCCTCCGTTCATTTTTTTCATCATGCTGGAGACGTCTGTTTAAATGTGTTGTTTACACATTTCTAAGAGTACTTTTAATACTTAAAATTTTTTATAATAACTTTTGATAATAAAATTAATACTTGATTCTAGTGGACTCTAAACATTGCATTTATTTAATGTGAAAACCCAACTGTTGGGGTTAATTGAAACATATTTTTTTCCCTTTGTAGTTCCACTCTGTAATGAACAGAAGCCCAGAACATGTGGATATAATGACATTAAGAACATGCTGACTTTCTCAGACTTTTGTAATTATTTTATTTTTATTACATTTTTATTAGGTTTGTTTACGTTGTTACTCTTTTAGTTTTACATTTCGTCAATGGCTTCTTTACATTTATACTTTTTTTATGGTACACTACTGAATGGCAACATTGCAAGTTTAATAAAATGTTCTTTAAAATTGTTGAAATTATTTTTTTTGTGGGAAATTAATTGTTTAGATTAATCGATAAATTAGTCGATAAATTAATCGAAATGAAAATAAAAATTTTAAATGACAACTTCAGTTTAATAGCATGTTGAAATATCTAATAAAAAGGTCAACCTCACATTTCAGCCTTTAAATAAAGAAAAGAGTTAAGTCAAAATGGTAATTGATTAACAAATGATTATATGTATTTTATCTGCTCCATAAATAATTCTAATTATAAGATAACTTATATGAATTGTTTAAATGTGAAGTGACATGTGGTGACCCATACTCGGAATTAGTGCTCTGCATTTATCCCATCCAAAGTGTGTCCCATCCACAGCAGTGAACACACACCCTGTGCAGTGGGCAGCCATTTTTTGCTGCGGTGCCCGGGGAGCAGTTGGGGGTTCAGTGCCTTGCTCAAGGGCACCTCAGTCGTGGTATTGAAGGTGGAAGAGAGCACTGTACATTCACTCCCCCCACCTACAATCCCTGCCGGTACGAAACTCGAACCCGCAACCTTTGGGTTACGAGTCCAACTCTCTAACCATTAGAATCCACATTAGCTTGTTTTTGGTCAGACAGAAACTGCACACAAGCTGAATGTAAATATAAGTCTCTGTAAATCCATTCGCTGACAGCAGGTGGCGCTTATGGAAAAACAGAATTACAGCTGTTTCCCGTAACCTCCGTGGACAAAGCAGTATTGCGATTAAGAACACTTCCTTTAGGTATTACATGGAGCGATAATGAAAACAAACTGCCATCGACTCGTTTCTGAAGACAGTCAGAACCTTCAGAGGTACATTCATATAATTAATCTATTCATTTGTATAATTCCCTTAGCACTCTTTTAAAACCTCCCAGCTTTTCCGCCCTGTTTTCACTCAAAACTAAACTAGCCTACTCTTCTGCTGTGCGCACGTGTGACTGTTACTGAAAACTGTGCTTTATGCTGGACAGTATTTATTTATTGTGAGTTGTTCAAATCGCGGTAATCTAATACGGTTTTAATGATAATTAAAATATGAAACGGTAATACTAACCGTCTGGAATTTTATCATGATTTATTGTCAAACCGGTAATCGTTACATCCCTACTGCACATTCATTCTTTGTTTTTTGAGCACAGCTTAATCTTGGTCCTGGACAGAAGTTTTAAATGAACAATCACACTTCTCTCATTCTGTGTAGAAAAAGGATCCAGCCCAGTTCCTGCAGGTTCATGGCCGGGCATACAAAATCCATCTGGATTCAGCTGTAGCCTTGGCAGCTGAGAGTCCCCTCAACATGTATGTAACTAGCATACGGATCATCGATTTGGGAAGAAATCATATTGTTTGTTAGGTTTGCTGTGCACAATGTATTATATATCAATATGGTTCTATGATACTAATTATTATTGCTACTATAAAAACTTAAAAAAATTACTAAATAAATCAAAAGAAATATCACTCTTTAAATATGTCATTCAGGTATTTAGGAAAAATAGTCTAATATAAAAAGCATTTTATATTTCAACTGGAAAATTACAATACTGATATTTTTGGCTATGTTAACTTGTTCATTTTCAAATGTTACATCAAATGTATTTTTGGATGGAAAGTAGAAGATAAGCATTTCTCATAAAATAAGAACTACAAGTATGAGAAGATGGTTGGCGCATGTTGCGATCCCTAATGCACAGTAAATCAACCCAAACTCAGTGCAGAGATGAAGTTTATGTGTAGACACTGCAAACACTGGTGGTTAATGAGCTGCTTGCATGTAAGAACACAGTGCCATTGCTTCACTCTGAAACATGCAGTGCATATAATTATTTAGTTAAATCACAGCCTTTGCAATTTGATAATCGCGCTAAACCATATCGCGATTTTGGTTTTATTTCGATTAATCGTGCTGGAAAGTTTGGAAAACTGTCACAGCTTCATCCTTTGTCCTAACAGGATGCCTTGGCAAGGAGATACCAGCAACATGATTGATAGGTTTGATGTCAGGGCACACCTGGACTACATCCCCACCTATACACCAACTCTCCTGAACACTACGTGGGTAGTCTGATCTTAATGCATCTGTCATGTAGGAAAATATAAAATGGATAAACTTGAGTATGCAAAGAAACGGGTAGTAGGATGCTGCCTTTCCAAAACGGTGGCATAGTGTGGTTTAATTTTCCATCTGGTTTTCAGTTTAACCCTCGGGTATTCCTCCTTTAGGGGACAATATATTTTTTTCTTTTTACTATAGTTTGTCCAGTAATATTTATTCTCAAATATTTTATGTTTTGAGGGGATTTCATGCTAGACAATATTCATCTCTAAATTATGTATCATTTATTTCTGTATTAAAATACAAATATTAGAAAAAATATCATATTATAAATCTAAATAAAAATTCCTATTTTCAATTAATACATTGTTAAAGGTGGGGTAAGTGATTTCTGGTAGCCAATGTTGATATTTCAAATTACCAAAACAAACAAGCCCCTACCCCAAAAGGGTCTCGCCCCTATTTTGATAGTTCCGCCCCACACATACGTACGCAACCCAGCAACGATTAGTTCTATGAAACAAAGCAAAACCAATGTTACAACGTGTCTACACCGGACGCGAGTGGCACGACAAAATACTATAGATCTCATTATAATCAGTGATGCTGTCTACACTGAATGCGGCGCGGCACGACACGACAAATCCCCGACAGAAAACTGCTGCTGCGTTCTATTTATGATGTATTGACACAAATTTCAAATGATTTTCAACGGTCGCTTTTTCACGTCCAGTGTAGACAGACTTTAGCTGTTGCGGCGCGACAACTGTCACGTCCGGTGTAGACACGGTGTTACCCACCTATCGAGAAGAAACAAAGCAACCTCTGCATCCGATCGCAGGCCTTCCGCTCCTTGAGTTCTCTCCAGCGCTGGAAACCTGATCCGATATTTACAGTGATAAATTATAATTTTTTGTGTTCATATAGCAAGTGCCACTAAAGTCACCAACTTTTGTACCAATTTGAATAAATAAAAAAATATCAGTCTAAAATAACTGAAGACCGACCAGGGGTTAAAGAAGTTTTGATAAAATTATGCTGAACTGGTTTCTGTTTTGTGTCATTTTTGATTAAGTTCATTGTTTCTGTCACAGCACCCCAGAGCAGGAATCAGAAGAGAGGAAGTGCAATTACGAGCGCTATAGAGGTCTGGTGCAGAATGACTTTGCAAACAGTAAGTTTCTTTTGATTTCATTCTGCCTTTTTTTTTTCTTAAACAGTTGTGACCCTTATAATGTTACTGATAAACTTGAAAGAATCCACAAAGAATGTTCTTGTCATGTTGTAGTCTCCGAGGAACAGTGTCTGTACCAGATCTATGTGGATGAACTCTACGGTGGCCTACAGAAACCAAATGAGGATGAGAAGAAAAAGTATGAACTTGTGCATCAGTAATTAAAACAAATGTGGCTAAAAGTACATTCTGTTAGATGGATCGCATCATAATTTTTTTTTCACTGTTAGACTCGCTGAGAAGAAAGCTCAGATCGGTTATACATATGAGGACACCACAGTAAAAATAGAGCAAATGCATTTAAAATCCAGTGCATGGAAGGCAGATTAGTGCCATTTGGTAGGAGAAATGCAGAAAATATTTTATTAAATTTTAAAAAATCATATTTAATTCCATGTTGTAACAACTAGATGCCGGTGTAGCCCAATATATAAATATATGTAGGCATGTATGTTCTCTAAATGCTTACAAGAGTATATGTAGACACAACTACATACTTTTAGTAGGTTTTGCATTTGAATATATATATTTAGACATGATGAAAGAAAAAATTGCTCTGTATTTTTTAGATTTCCCATTCATATACTATGGTGGTAGTTATTTGTGATAAATTATAATTTTTTGTGTTCATATAGCAAGTGCCACTAAAGTCACCAACTTTTGTACCAATTTGAATAAATAAAAAAATATCAGTCTAAAATAACTGAAGACCGACCAGGGGTTAAAGAAGTTTTGATAAAATTATGCTGAACTGGTTTCTGTTTTGTGTCATTTTTGATTAAGTTCATTGTTTCTGTCACAGCACCCCAGAGCAGGAATCAGAAGAGAGGAAGTGCAATTACGAGCGCTATAGAGGTCTGGTGCGATATTCTGTGATATATAGCAATTTATTACCCTTTTCCAACTTCAAATTATGTCCCCAAAGGAAAACTTTGGCAACATCTGTTTTAACTAAAAATAAACATTTCTCAGTTTGTTTATCTCACTTCAGTTTTATTGCTGCAGTGCAAAATGGGATTGTCAAGCAGACAAACTGACCAACACTTTCATGAAAACCTGTCATAAATGTTGTATGCACCTGGCAAACTCAACTACTTGTATTACAGTCTAATCTAGTCCACCTTAATTAAATGTACACAGGTATGCACTGCTGTGCTACTACAGGTATTTTGAACAGTGCAACTTGAAATTGTACTAAAAAGTTGTGCAGACCCTTCAGCAATTGGGGCATTTGAAAGTAAATTACTGTTAAATTTAAATTAAATTAAACATGTAATCTTACATCTAGGGATGCACCGAAATGAAAATTCTGGGTGCACTTGGCTGAAAACCGAAACCCAAAATGCTTTGTAATGATTATTTATTATTTTATTAAATAATATAAAGTAATTTTGTAAGACTTTTTAAATTTTACTACATTTTAATGATACTGTATTTAAAAAAAACACAAACCAATAAAATAACCACACTTTTACTGAAAGGAACACAATAAAACTGGACAGAATTTAATATTGGTAACACTTTACAATAAGGTTCATTAGTTAACTACTTTAGTTAATGAACTAGGAATGAACAATAGTTCTTCAGCATTTATTAATCTTAGTTCATGTTAATTTCAACATTTACTAATGCATTATTAAAATCAACAGTTGTGCTTGTTAACAGTTAATGCACTCTGAATTAACATGAACTAACAGTGAATAACTGTATTCTCATTAACTAACATTAAGAAAGATTAATATATACTGTAATAAATGTATTGTTCATTGTTCGTTCATGATAGTTAATACATTAACAAACATTAACTAATGGAACCTTATTGAAGTGTTACCTTAATATTAAATATCAATATATTAATTTTATTCACTTCTATGTAACCGAATCAGATAGAAGTTGTTGTTTTTGTTTTTTGACTAATTATCCAAATAATGTATAGTCCTACAAAGCTATTATTATCAGAGCATATGAGCAGAGCATAGCAGAGCATCGTGTCACTGGAGGTAGCATAATTTTAGCAGCGTTGCCCAGTACAGCTGAACTAGCCTTCACCATGTTACAGCACAGTAGCGCTACTGCAAACCGGAACAAGTATACTGCATAGAAATGTCCTGTCAGTGCGTTATTTGAGAGGACTTTGCTTTTCCGATGAGCATGAGCGGTACACGAGCGGAAACGCACATTCATAAATCGGAATATTGAGTGACGAGGAGAGTGAAACATGCGCGCTGAACACTGCGGCGTGCCATATATATTATTATTATTATTATATGTAGCCTATATTTTCGGTGCATCTCTACTTGCATCCCCAACTTGTTTACAAATCCGAAGTAAGTCATCCGATTTAAACGCGGACAGGCTTTCCTGATAAATTTCCGTGAATTTCCTCTTTATTTTACTAATTTACTGCATGCTGAAGGTGACCCAGCTGACCTCACCAGAAAAAAACTCCACACCACCATCTAGTGGATTGTAAAGAAATTGATTTTATTGTTCTACCAAATAGTATAATAAAAGATCGATACTTGGCGTCCGTGAATCGATACAGTATTGCCGCGGAAGGTGTCGCGATAATATGCTGTATCGATTTTTTTTCCCCCACCCCTAGTGTGTGTGTGTGTGTGTGTAAATGTTATAATGTGCACCAGTTACACACATTGCTGATTATTTTTATTGAAAATTGATTAACTGAAATTTCAATTTATTATGTACATTTCAAAAACAGCTATGCCAGAAGAGACAGTCCTACATACGACCCCTACAAACGGTAAGTGTTCACTTTGCACATTTGTTTTGAATGTATAAATTGTAGGGTTGGGTACTGAAACCCGGTACCAATATGGCACCGGTATCCATGTAACCGGTAGAGGTCTACACGGAGGAACCGAGACGGGTCCTGTACGGGTTCGGGGCTATATTTTAAATGGTCAGGTCCCAATCTATTACTTCGGGTCCCGTGTCTGTTTAACATTGTGTGTAATACCGGAGTCGATCAGACTCGGAGAACACCCAGCCGTTATCAGAGTCAGTCAGCGCTGTGCGTGTGTTGTTTTGTAACTTTCAACTTGTAAAATTAGAATGAGAAAAGTGTGAGTCGGTAATTTGAAATAGGGTGGAGAAAAAAAAACACGAGCGACGTCAGCAGAAGCACGGTGGTCGGAGTTAATGCACACGCACGGTGATAATTGATACCTTCATGAGTGATGCGAGTTATTATTGATTATTTTTTAAAATAATATTATGAATGAACCGTCTTGTTGTTAGATCTAAAATTTTTGCTCAAACTCGGCTCAGAGAGCACAGAGATGATAGCAAATAAGTAAAGCTAACGTCAGCAGCCATGGCACAGGACGAGCAATCGTTATTATAATCCAAATGGGCAAACAGTCTAAATTATTATGCAAGTTGACTCGAGATACAAAAAATGCAAAACTGCAAAGTCGCATTTGTCATCCGTCACCGTGACAGCAAGTGGACTTTTGAAACTGGAATAATGAGTGGATTACGCATTTCAGTTGGCAAGAGAGGAATAACACGGATGGAATTTTCTTGGCAAGGAGGATTGTGTGCATCACAATCAGGTACAAGGGAGAAGGCTTCTTACATTAGGTAAGACAAAAAGTTTAATTTTCGCAACTTGTTTATCGACTTGTTAATAGCAATTTGCTGTGGAATATGTGCCGGTCGGGTCCAGTCGGGTCTGTGTCTTCCCGGTGTTGTGCCGAATTCTGCACCCCTGCCAGATTATGCACCCCCTCGTTGAAGTTGCTACCTGATTGCCTAATCCCAACCCCACTCCTAAGCCTAAACCTACCAATACTAGGGGGTGCATAATCTGGCAGGGTGCAAATTTCGGCACTACACCGGCCGTGTTCGGGTCCATCTTTCAAATAATTGACGGTCCGCGTCGGTTCCGGGTAGTACATTTTTGACATTTCTCAGTTCTGCACGGGCCCGGGTCCGGGTCCAACTTTCAAAATAATAGACGGGTCCGGGTCGGTTGAGTGTAGCACATTTACGGGTCTCTTCGGGTTCGGGTATTTTTGGATTGTTTAGACCTCTATGTAACCGGTGTGTACTTGAACCGAATCAGAACACAGATTTCGGTGCTTCACAGAATGAGGCAGAAAAATATGTTCCATAGGATACTTTAAAAAGAATACATCGATTAGCAATGGATTATAAATATACTTTATTATGAAAATACCAGAGATGGCTTGAATAACACGGATAAACTATATTGTTGCAGTCGAGTGTTTATTGTCTTTGTTTTATCATTCAAAACGTTTATATGTTCTGTTTACTCAGTTACAGCTATAATAGCGATGTCTTTGTCCATATAAGGCATTTCTTGGAGGGTCATGAGTTCCGCTACATCTGTGACTGGATATGTGGATTTTCTGTGCGAGGGCACCCTCTGGTGTCCAGTATGAATGAAACGGACATCATTTGTTATATTCTAATGGGCAATCCATAATTTTGGGGGGTA